TTTTGACCTTGGAACCCCGGGTCATATTATGACCCGGCCCCTATGGTGCTCTGTTTGAAAAATTGATGGTTCCTACCCCCCTGCCCCCTACCTGCCCCCCTAGAACCGTTTTGTTGATTTTTTGCTATTAACTTTACTGTTCCTTTAATTCATTATTGCTTCCTCTATCCCAAAATCATCTTCCCACTTGCCACTTTTTGTTGTCCCGAAATCTTACTCCTTACCTCTTTGAAAAATTTTTCTAGTGAAATGATATTTGCACCCATCAACGGCCCAAGTGCCCAATATAAATTTCACTCATCTTATTAAATAGTCATTTCCTCGGATGAATAAATACTCTGGGATACCGTTAACCCAATTGCTGACCCACTCTTAAAATCTGTGTCATTTTCACATAGGAACATCATTTTGGAAAGGTGAGTGTTTTTATAAGTCCCATACTAAATTTATTTTTGCTTCTTATCTGATATCCACCTTGGATGCACTAAACTTATGCTTAAAATAGTAAAACAATGCAGGAAGAGCTAAAACTTCTATGTTCCTCCTTTCCATATCAATTGCCTTATAGTTTCCCATTCCTATCCACTTTGGCAAACATTATTTTGAGCTCCATTTTTGAACTTTCGAAAACTGAGCTATTTTGGTACAAGTATTGTGAAAAGCCAATTTTCTATCCGTACGTATACAGATACTCCCTCTGTCCCTCAATGAAGTTTTACACATTTCTATTTTGTCTATCACACAATGAAGTTTACACTATTCTTTTTTTTTGTCGTGAAATGATCTGCACACTTCTTTCATTTCCTTTTTAGGAAAAGAATACCGTGGGACGGAGGGAGTATATTTTTTGCATCTATGTTCTTGGCTCGTGTACATTGCACTGTGCCTTCCTGAAATCTTAATGTGATGTTTCTTTGTGTTTGATGCTTCTGTGAAGTAGTTTCCAGCTAATTTTTTGGTTTCTTAAACCACGGAGTAACTCTTGTCGTGAAACAAGGTACTCTTGTTTGCAGTTAAAGTAAATACTCTCCGTGCGCAAAAGGACTTCACCCGAAGCAAGAGCTTGACTGTTTCTGTTTTCTACCATAACTTCTTGCTTTCCTGTCTGATCATTTACTGTAACAACTGATTATATCTCTCTTTCAAGTTCTTCTACTCTCTCTCTCTCTCTCTCTGAATTCCCTCCATTCTATTTAGGCTCTTATTTTTCTTTGTATGCTAGCGCCATACACTTGGAATGTTTTAGGTTTGCTTTCTAGCTTCGATAACCTATTCATAGTGTATGCTAGGAAAAATATACTCTTGTGTTAGCGTGTAGGTTCAACGTGTCATATCCTTACATTGGTATTCAAAACAAGGTGGGTAGACATATGCAATATTCAAAACAACATCTCATTATGGGTTTTGTTTCATCTTCCATTGCTGCAGAAATCCCACATACCCCCCCACCCCCCACACCCCACCCCTCCCCCCCCACACACTTTCTTGAGGTTCTGTCTAGCTCCAATCAATCTCCGACTAGAGAGAGAGAGAGAGAGAGAGAGAGCTTTAGGAAAATCTCTATGCTTGTCCAACATGATTGAGTAGAACACTTTGAGGAGTATGAATTAGATTTGTACAAGTAATAGTGCCCCATTATTCTGTGGTTTTGTTTGTTTATTTATGGATTGAGTGTAAGTAAATACTTCTTCTGGGTTTTGCTTAGATTCAGTGTTCTTACATAAATTAAACATTCTTGCATTGATGAATGTCTGTTTTAGTCTTTCTTATTTGGTGTTGATTTAATTACCTGATTCAGTTCCTTACTAGGAATGTTTACTTGCCAGCCTTTAGATACTCAAATACAAGTTGCATTTGGGACTCAATACAATTTGCATTTGTGTTTATTTCTTTGCTTTTGAAAATTTGCATTTCAAATTTGGAATGTGCAACTTCAAATCTTTTTTTGAGAACGAAAGCGCATATGATTGTCATAATTGNACATAAATTAAACATTCTTGCATTGATGAATGTCTGTTTTAGTCTTTCTTATTTGGTGTTGATTTAATTACCTGATTCAGTTCCTTACTAGGAATGTTTACTTGCCAGCCTTTAGATACTCAAATACAAGTTGCATTTGGGACTCAATACAATTTGCATTTGTGTTTATTTCTTTGCTTTTGAAAATTTGCATTTCAAATTTGGAATGTGCAACTTCAAATCTTTTTTTGAGAACGAAAGCGCATATGATTGTCATAATTGATATCAATATTAGTACGAGTTGGTTTGGTTCGGAATATATTTTAACACTAAAGCATGATTAGATCACGTTCTTTTCAGCTGATTTGAATAGTTTTGATTTGATTTGAATGTAGTTATATTTAAAGTTGTTTCTGACCTGAATTGATTACAATAAAAAAAAGTGATAAATAATAAGAATAAGTTAAAGAGAAGATGATCTAATACTGGTAATTATTTGTGGTATAGGTAATGATTGTGCTATTGTGCCTATCTACAAAATACTCTCTTCACTCCAAAATATTTACATACTTCATCCGTTCCAAAATAAAGTTTACAGGTTGATTTGGCATAAAGTTTAAAGAAAATGAAAATATGTGTTTGAAAGTGACGCAAAATGACTCAAATTTTTTCATAAAAGAAAAGACTTTTTTTGCTGGATGTCTCAAAAAGAAAATAAGATTTTTTTTTTTGGATAAAGTGCGATCAGACTGGTTTAGGAGGCAAAGTCTTCAGTCTTCAGTGGGACAACTACTCCGTATGTGGCAATAATGCTGCAGTAGGACACTAGTACGGACTACCTATGTTGTCCTATAGCACACATGAAATACTGTTTTTCGAAAAAAAAAGAGCTGCATTTTCCCTTCATCTAAATTGTTTAAGCAAATATTCCCTAGACAAATGTATCTAAAAAAGAATGTTACATTATGTAAAATGAAGTGAAAATATAACTTATTTTGAAATTTATTAGATCCAAAAATTGGTATATCAGTGAAAAAATGAAATTTACATATTTTAAAAATATGTTAAAAAAGCTTTACAAAATACTCCGTAAGAGGTAATAAGAATATTTTATTTTATGAAATAATTAATGAAAACACACAAATAAAAAAATTCATGATTTTTGAGTAGTAGGTTTTGACATTTTTTTAAACCAAGTAGTTAATTTTTATACTCCGTATTTAATTTGCCCCTGATAGTATAATTATTAAAATAGGGCTAGTGGGATATTATACTCTCTATATCTCTAAAAGATAATCAAAATTTATTTTTTTTGGTTAAACTATAGTACTTTTTTACTATGAATCATGAAAAAAAATGTCAAACTTATTTTGAACGTTCAAAAAGAAATTACAATTATTATTATTTTTTTTTGGCAGAGGCAAATCAAAATTAGTCTGTGCATATGTTAGCTTGGTCACGAGGTTTTACTCCAGCCCATACGTACATTATCATTTCAGGCGAAAAGATAATGAGGACTTTGATATTATTGCATTTTTACTCAATTTTGGGAGGACACCTCACTTTACATTTGAACACTGCCTATATTTGACTACTTTCATGTAAAAGCATGGGAAAATACGTTTGAAGCTCTCGCTTCAAATATTAGATTTAAACTTTAATTTCTCTCTTTGCTACATCAGTTTTAATTTTTTTTATAATTTATCTCTCTATTTCATTGAAAATATGTTTGAAGCTCGGGGATTCAAACTGAAGCTTCATGCTTTTATTTTTTAATTTTTTAAAACACATTTTGTAAAAGTAATTTAATAAGATTTTATGTTTAACTGCGTTTATGTTTAACGCATGCATCATAACGTCTATATAACTTGGGAGGGGAGTGATGTTTAACGCCATAACGATGTTAAACACCAGTTTTACGCGAAAGGCGTTACACCCATTTCCACTGCCCCAAAGGTGTAGCCAAGTTAGTTAATATGGGGTGCAGAAGAGAATAATGTTTGGATTTGGCTTCTGGCAACAGTAATAAATGATGACCTAGTGTAATATTGAGTATGAGATCTTTTCACGTATAATAGACAAACTTTATTTTCTGTAACTTAGTCAAAATCAAAGGTCAGTTTACCTCATTCTAAAGAATGTTTGAATCAAACCTGGGTGCCTTTAGATGGAGTGGTTCATTTTTTCTGAGTACTCCCTTCGTCCCAAGTGAAAAAGCACTTGTTGACTTAATGGAGAGATTAATGTGAACTTTAGAGGGGTGATTATTTTTCAATTTTTCTCTAAATGTGACATGTGGTGGGAATACGAGAGAGTAGAAAAATAATTGAAAAAAAATATGATTGAGTCATTGAGTTGGTTGAAATAAGAGGGCATGTAGAAGTGATTTAGAATATAAGAAAAATATTTTTGAATGAAGTGTGTCTTTTGATTTGTTACACTTGATTTAGAAAGTGGCTCTTTTGATTTGGGACATAGGGAGTATATTTGGTGGCTCCCTTCCTCTGAAATAGGTTTCACAAATCACCCTTCACTATATATAATTATCAATAAACTAATAAAGATAAGGTAATGTGTTATGGAGGAGCATGACACGACATGATAGTGTGCAAACCAGTATAATATGGAGTGATAAAAATATGTGTATTATGATGGATGTAAAGTGAAATGGTGATGTGTTAATAAGTGTTAAATTCTGATTGGTTGAATTATTAAAAAGAAAAAACTAATTGTGGGAGACAGTAGCCATCCCTACGCGATGGTGGGCACTTGAATTGTTGCCCCTTCACACTGGCTTTGTTTGGTAACAGCGTTTTCGATTAGCGTTAGCATTTTGGATAAAATTTTAATGGTGCAGAGTAATTCTAAAAACACTAACGCTAAAGGCTACATAGCTTTTTTAAAGCGTTACGCTAATCGCTAACGCTGATGCCAAACGGGGCCACTATGTATGTAATGGATGGGGGGAGGTGAGTGGGGTAGTCAAGTCTCAAGTCCCTCCTAACACCTCATAAAAAATAAAGTGAGCTAAATTTGACTTAATGAATAGTGTATGAGAAATGAGAGTGATTGACTTTATTTTGAAACGCAAAAACAATAAGGAACTAATTGCTAAAAAGTAATGTTATGTTCACAAATAAAATAGTCACAAATTTCATAAACTTACTATTTAAGATTTAAATTTCCATTTTAAAATTATTTATAGAGATTTAGAAATAATAAATTTGTAAAGATTGTGATGATTATATTTGTGAACCAAAAATCCCATTGGAATTTGGGATGCCATTTTCCATGGACCCTCACGGGATTTGGATGTCCTCCCGAGTATTGTTGCAATTTAGTAACACGTGTCACGTACATTGCTCATATATATATGAAAACCAGGAAATGCATAAACCAGCTGCGTCTAGGAGCTGATTAAAGAGAAATCGCTCCGTATAACAATGGCGACGAGGAGCTCTCTGCAGCTGGTATTCAGCAGCATTTCCAGAGGAAGCATTCGGAACTTCTGTAACGCCGCCCGAGCCAATGCGGCGGCGGCGGCGCCGTCATCTTCTTCCCAGCACCTCATGGATTTGGAGTCCGAGTGCAGCGCTCACAAGTAATCTTTCTTCTCTTCGCCCTACCGTATTTGTTGCGGCTAATTTTCTGCAGGTGGTCTCCTATTTCATGATGGCCTGTGGGTTTCCTTCCGATTGTGTGCTCAGGTGACTGGAAACTTCAATCGATCCGGGAATGGAGGGGTGGGGAGAATCGCCGCCGCTGTAGAAAGCGGCCGATGATGGGGGACCAAAACTGGGTAACCTAACCGTCTCCGGCACACAACACATAAACCGGACTAGCCTGAAAGTGTCCTTTTTTTTTTGAATTTTTTCTGGTCCCAAAATAGTAAAAACTTAAATGCATTTGACAACAAAGACCGGGCCCGGCCAGAACCAATACCATGTCAATCCAAATATTTAATGACAACATTTGATCATGTTTATCACTTTATTATGTTTAACAAATGTAATCAAGATAACTTAGATAGATATTATCAATTCAAATTAGGCTCTCATGATTTTCACTTGACCACTCAGTCCCCAACATAGTTTGGTCTATACTGAGATTGTTGTTGTTGTACTTCCTCTAATGTCATATATGGGCCCAAGCACACACTAACAATGCAATCATGATGAGAAGGTTGATATATGTACATAAGCATACTAGTGGCCTTTGCATGACTTTCTTTCAGAAAAATTCTATTCATTTATAAGTTGGTGTTATTATTCCTAGAAAAATGACACTCCATGTTGTGTATCTTAACCACTGAACCTTACTGGGCATCTTTCTACTGATACTATTAATCTACTAAGCAATTCAGAACAATTATTATAAGCACACAGATTTTAATGCGGTTTATCATCTATATGTTGCCAAAGCTTATCAATTTTTCTTGGTATTATAAGTTAATTTTATGCATTAGAGTTCTTTATTATTCATAATATTAACAAAAATATTAATGTCAAAGACGATATTCCTAAATATTATTTTTGTCATTCATTTAAGTGTTATTGATATCTACATCCAACCATAGTTTAATCAATATTTCCATAAAATCAATGTACCCATGCTTAAATGCCGAAGATTTCAACCTTGGGGTTTGTTACAGGCAGATTTCTCTACCTATGGTCGTAACAGTTTTTGCCTACTTGCTTGAGAGAAATCACTGGACAAGAAGCTCCTCTGGTGTAAAACTTTGCCACTATTATTTTTTTTGCATGATATGCAAAATTAGATACTTTAAGAAAATTAATTGATACTATAAATTGCACTTGGGATTAGTGATAAATTTGATTGTGTTGATTCTAGTTATATGATCAAGTGTGAGGTAAATATAATTGGAGAGAGTGATAAATTTTATAGATTGCACTAACCATGAGCTAGGGAATTGGGATTACGGCTTAGATGTGATTGTTGTTGTTGTGGTTGTTGTTGTATTAGTCATAATCTAGTATGGTACTACAAGTTATGGCATGCTATAGAATTTTTTATCCATCATCATACAGTGTCTGCACATAACGAAAAATTAACATAGCGCTTGTGATTGAATTGCAGTTACCATCCAATTCCCATTGTTTTTTCTCGAGCGAAAGGATCATCTGTCTGGGATCCAGAAGGGAACATGTATCTTGACTTCCTTTCAGCATATTCTGCTGTCAACCAGGTTAACGTTAATGACAGAGAGATGTTTCGTAGAACATATTAAAAGTTTGCCTCTCTCAACTCTCGTGTGAAGATAGAAACCAGAATATTTTCAGAACACTTTGTTTTTAGAAATAAAGCAGAAATACTCTGAAGTTAATATCTTATATATATATATGTACTCCTGCAGGGGCACTGCCATCCCAAGATCATGAAAGCATTAGTAGAACAAGCTGAAAATTTAACTGTTAGCTCAAGAGCATTTTATAATGACAAATTTCCAGTATTTGCTGAACTTCTTACCAGCATGTTTGGTTACGAAATGGTGTTGCCAATGAACACTGGTGTAGAAGGAGTAGAGACAGCTTTGAAGTTGGCAAGGAAATGGGGATACATGAAGAAAGGAATACCGAAAGACGAGGTAATGATTTAGTTTCATAGTTCATACGGAGTATTACTTATTTGTGCTCTAAATTGAAACTTCTTCTAGCTTCTGGTTTATATCCTTACACTCAGCAAGGTGGAGGGATAGTTAAATTCAGAGTTCATTATAATTCCATTAATTTTAATTTTTGTAGCAACTCTATGATCATGACCTTGATTGTGAAGAAAAACTTGCCTTTTTGTCCCGAGAGTGTTTGTTAGGGAGCATAAAAACAGTAAAATGGACTGATTGTTTTTCATATCGACGGGTCAAATATTTTTGTATGCTACTGGTGTTTTTTTAAATTTCCCCACACATTGAATTGAAAAGTTTTAAAATAAGGCAACTTGAGAGGGATATCATTTTCCTTAAGGGTGTCATTTAAGTTTTAGCCTTTTAGGGTATATTCCACACATTCCTTAAGGGCATCATGAAGTTGGGATCACCTTTGAGAGTAGTAGAACAGCTGCGTATTACTCTACTTTGAACATTTGTTATCTTTGGTAAGAGCATCACTACTCATTCTCCCGATATTCCCCTCCACATCATCATTTTTTCACATCATTTTTTTTATTTTCTTCACCCCACTCTAATCATTCCCCTCCTTTTTATCTTTATTTCAAAATATTTAATTTATTTTCAACCAATCAAATTTATTATTTCATTTTATACCCAATAATAAATTTTTTCTCTCCAGAAGCATTTTATTCCCCTCCCAACCAAACCCCCTCCATTTTCCTCCACCCTCTCTAACCATTCTCTATTGCCACATAAGCAATTCCCCTCCCATGCTTCCCCATTAGTGATGCTCTAAGGACTTTTAATTCTTTAGATTAGACTGGGATTGTCTCATAGATGGTCAATTTTACGTGAAAGGAGTGTAGCTTTGATTGAAATGTTTCTGCTGAACTCAACAATGTTTCATATGTTCTTGGGTGTATTTAGTTTGGGGTCTTAATCCATATCTTTTAGAGTTCAAGTTTGTTTATTTTACTTTGGTATGTGAAGGCTATGATCGTCTCATGTTGTGGTTGCTTTCATGGACGCACACTTGCTGTGATATCTATGAGCTGTGATCACGATGCAACTCGTGGATTTTGGCCCTTAATGCATGGCAATCTTAAAGTAGATTTTGGTGATGCGGCTGCACTTGAGAAACTATTCAAGGGTATGCAAATGACGATTCTTTAAGAATGGTGCTGGCAAAGAATCCAGTCATGCAAATTTCTTCCTCACCAAAAACATTAAATCTACTTATTCCTTTGCTCTGTTTGTTTTCCAGAAAAAGGAGACAAAATAGCTGGTTTTTTATTTGAACCCATCCAAGGAGAGGCTGGGGTAAGCATCTTCTTGAACTGAATACATATGGAGCATCAGTTTTACAATATATATCATAGAGTACTTCATTTTTCTCCTCCATGTCCTCATCCACAGAAAGGTTCTATTATACTGTTTGGTCTTTTTTATATCCTTTGTTGTACATCTTTGTCTAGGAAACTACTTGAAGTGGGTTGGGGGAAAGTAGTATTTTGATTTTGTGTTACGTTTTTTGTTTATTCCTTCTAATGATGGTTGCGACACAAATGACATCTGGTATAAAACATTGACACAATGCATTTTACAAGATTTTACATTGTTACAAGATTTTATAGAATTACTTGACACTTGATTTTATTTAACGCCACTCGCCCCCAACTAATTGGGATTAAGGTGCTGAAAATGATGATGATGATGGTTATATGTTTGTTCTTTGATTTAAGCATATCTGTTATTATACGGAGTATTTGACTATTTAGCTTGCAGGTTATAATCCCCCCGGATGGATATCTGAAAGCTGTTAGAGATCTTTGCTCAAAATATAATATTTTAATGATTGCTGATGAGATACAAAGTGGGCTGGCACGATCAGGAAGAATGCTTGCATGTGACTGGGACGGGGTCCGCCCTGATGTCCTAGTAAGTACTTTTACTGATCCTGATTAATTTGCTATGTGTGAACTGAAATGTTTCTGGTCATATGGACTAACATTTCTACTTGTCCTCATCATGCTTTTCCATCTTTATTCATCAACTTTAATTCTCGACTTCTAAAAAAATCACCATGAAGTCCAAAATGTCCACAATTTGTGAAAGTTTATAAAATTTCGTTCTGTTTTTATCTGTAAAGTTCCTATAGCTAACTGTATAAAAGCCTAACATAGGTAGTATTGGACTAAAAGTGGAATTGTTTTTATCTGTAAAGTTTCTATAAATGACCATGAAGTCCAAAATGTCCTCAATTTGAGAACATTTTGAAATTTGGACTGAAAGTGGAATGTTTTTAAGACTAACAATGTCCAGAAGTTGAAGAAATCAAAGCCAAGGACTAAAACTAGAAATGGAATATTATGAAACATCTGTGCTTGCGTTAAGCAATGCTCTTCATTTAATCACTTGTTGTAAACCCTTGGTCAGTTCATTGAATAGCATCTCTTTCCAAACAACTTTATTCTGATGCTACCTCATCCATTAGTACTGACTACCCCATGGTGCTTCTATGCTTGAAGCACAAGTAACTATTCATGTTCATATTTAGGTAAATATCTTTTTTTATATAGCAAAAAGCTGATTGGTCCAGAGTATGAACATTGTTTGAAATGCATTTAAATACCATTTGATAGGCTAATCCTCGATGGTCTGACGTTTGTCCCTGGGCCCTTCTAGGATTAGCCTTACACGTGTCCCCCATAAAAAAACCGCGACATTTATTTTGGTCATTGTGTAAGGTCCACCCTACCCATTGCAGGTCATATTTATCCCTAGGTTTTGTATAAAAGAAAATTTGTAGGTAAGTGGCATAAAGCACATGATCTCGGGATGTGCCATGCTAACTAATTTATTTATATAAATTTTGAAAGTAAAGATATTTACGAGAAGTCAAATGCATTACAACAACAAAATTCTCAATACGTATTTGAAATTCAATTTATTTTACCTCTTTGTTTCAACTAGCTTTACACATAATTTTGACTAGATACTTAAAAATTTACCCACAAAGGGGGTGGGGGTGGTTGGGTGGGTGTAGTTGGATTATAGATGATACGGTCTTGGTTGAACTAATTTTTCACAAAATTATACACTGTTAATTTGTTATAGTTTGGCTTTTGTTTTTTGTTTTATTTTAAAATTTATTTTTACTTGAGTTTACATTTTTAACTTTATTTTTTTAAAATCTGGATCAGTGCCTGACAGCCTGCATTTTTATGAGTGTTTTCCTGGTTAAACCTGCTTATTTACTGCTCCACACAAGTGGCACAACTAAGCCTTTAGATACATGCACACACCAGTATAATTTTAAATTCTTTTACTGCATAGTCTGCATTATCGGCCAGCATTCTCAACCACATAAATATGCTCCTGCTTGTCGTCTAGCATAGTCATCATCATTTTTAACACCTTAATCCAATCTAGTTGGGTCAGTGACACAAAATTTGAAGTGTTGATTAGTTGTATAAAATCATTTAATAGTATCAAAGCATGCAACGAAGTCAAAGTGGCAATGTTGTTGAACAACCATCTTTACAAGGAATATTGGATAAACATACTAAAACTGCCATCATCACAAACAACATCCCTACTCTGTTGGGTTTGAGAATTGAGAGCCATGAGAGGGGGGGGGGTCTGGGGGTTGTTTCGGTTAGACTCTTGATGCATTTAGTGCCCAAAACATCGTTGAAAGTAAGAAGGAAGGGACGATCAATGTGCCGTTTTGATATAGCCCATTATTTACCCGAACATGTCGTCCAAAATTACTCTTTTAGCTCCACTGCTATCATCATATATCTAAAAAGTATCATGATATATTGATAAACTCCTACGGTCTCTGAATTCATAGTTTGACTTCTCGGAGTTTAAAAAAAAGGTTGAAGAGTAAAAAGTGTGTGGTTGAAATTTATTTGGACAATAGGGAATTGTTAGGATTTGAGCCACACATTCCATCCTCGAAAACGAAAGCGTGGAAGTACAAATTTAATTTTGGGGTGGACAAAATGGAAGGTGTAAAAATTAATTTGGGGAGTATTAAATTGAATATTATTACAGATATTGGGAAAAGCATTGGGTGGTGGAGTGTTACCTGTAAGTGTTGTGCTAGCAGACAAAGATGTTATGCTTTGTATTCGCCCTGGAGAGCATGGAAGGTAATCACTTTCTTTTGTTCTTTTCTTTAATAGCATAAACATTCTGTTTTACTCACTGGAAACATGATGTCAGCTATTGCTATATCTGCCTTTGCTTGTGGACTGATTATATTGTGTGATCTGATCAAGAAATTTTGATTTGCGCATTTTCAGACAAAAGCAATAATTTTGTTTAGAATAAAGAAAAGCATTTAAATGTGGAGTTAATAAGATAAGGAGCTAACGATTGATTATTGATTTGGGATTAAGAGATAATAATGGGCAAAGTGATTTGATTGAACATGGTTAAAATGCACAAGGATGATAAAACATTACCAAAGTTTTGGGATATACTATGGTGGCATCATCCTAATGGCCTCACCATTATGACTTTATCATCTAGACTAATGTGTATGCAAGTGGCTGACTTGTACAATTATCATATCAATCTGAATAAACATTTAAATTCTCCACACACTTTTCATGACAGGATTTTTTTATTTGTTATCGTCAAATATATCCACATCAATCACTTGGAGGTCACTCTCCACACTCCACAGAGCAGACACGATTTTAGAGCAACATGTCCCTCTTCCCACCCACACCACCCCACATACAGACAATTTCTAGCAGCTTGAGACCATCTCCAACAATCTACTACCAACTCAAACTCAAAATGTAGTAAATATCAACTCAAACAGTAATTCATCTCCAACCCATTACACCAAATTCAAACTCAAAAAAATATTTTCACAATATTGTTTTTTTCTAATTAAAAACTGGGAGTACGATTTAAATTTGGGAATAAAGTTTAACCTCTACAAATTTGTTCAGATCTTCCTAAACCTTTTCCAATCTTCTTCGGAGTTCAGATAATATTTTAACCTCATTTTCAACCTCAATATCTTCTTCAGATCCTCTTCTTCAACTTTCAGATATTTTTCAGATTCCTTTCTTCAAGTTCCGAAAAAAAAATTAAAAATTACAGCCTCTTCTTTAACTCCCTATTTTGGTAAGCTTCTTCTTCTTCTTCCAAAAATATTTGCGTTTGTGATCAGTACAAACACATATTTGTGTTTTCCCTATTCAAAAGCGCAAAATATTGAGCCTTTGCGATGCATTTCGAAGGACGATTGGGGATAAATCTACACTGTATTTTGCGTTTCAGTGTACGACTCTGACAACATCCAAAGTTGTCCTATTTGTCATTTTTATGCCAACTTGTAACAGTTCCAAGCCCTTAATGTCCTGTGGATAGTATATGTTAAAAGATTTTTCCTGCAAATTTAAGCTGTCTTGTTCTAACCCAGTTTTGGCATCCATCTTCTTTGTCATAGTCTTGCTCTGTTATTTTTCTAAATAGAGTCTTCAAACATCTATTTAGATTATTTTTTTTTTACTTTATATTACAACCATTGCGGTGATGGTTTTAGCTTTTTCTGTCCATTTATTTTGACACTGTTAACCAATAACTTCTGGTGGGCTTTATTCTATTTTAGTTATAACCCACATAAACTTTTTCTCTATAATAACAGCACTTTTGGAGGGAATCCTTTGGCCAGTGCAGTTGCCATTGCATCTCTAGAGGTAATAAGAGATGAAGGACTTGCAGAGAGGTATTGTATTCTTTGCATTTTTCTTCAACTTGCTTCTTCAGTTACATATGAAAGTTCAATGTCAAGTACTGGTCTGGAATAGCATACCTGATGGCCTAACTGAGCTGTTAAGTATGTTATTGTTGCAACCTTTGGCATTGAGCTATGCACTGTTTGTATCATTACTCTCTTTTCAAATTATAATTCATATTTTTCAAATCAACCTATAAATAGTCGGATTATTCAAATATCAGCCACAATTTTATACTCTTGCTCTTATTTTTATTTTATTTTTTATTTCATTTTTTTGCTCTTTATATAGACAAAATATACTGGATACGAGCACTCGAGACCTCCAAAGGTCATCATCTGAAGCTAATTGGAAATGAAGTGTTTTGTAGGGGTCTATTGCAGATTTGGGAAATTAATTTCTGCAGTACTACCTAAAATTTCTAAAGAGACATTTGGAAAGTTGGATCGATAAAAAAGCAAAATGCTGCATATTATAAAACAGAGGGAGTTTTTTGAAGTATACAGTATATAGAAATGGGTTTACCATATGCTTCTATCAACAAACAGTAGCAAAATCTGGCATTGTATATGTCCCCCCTGCAGTGTGCCTTTTTAATTAATAGAACTTCAATCAAGGCCCAAGCTAATTGCCTTTAAGGAATTTATTACATATTGATGCAGATCTGCTCAGTTGGGAGAGCAACTCAGGAACCAACTAATTAAGGTTCAGCAGAAATTTCCTACATTGATAAAGGAAGTTAGAGGAAAAGGCCTATTTGATGCAGTAGAGCTGAATAAGAAGGCCTTGTTCCCGTTGACAGCCTACGACATATGCCTAAAGATGAAGGAGAGAGGAATTCTTGCTAAGCCAACTCATGATTCTATAATACGCCTAACGCCCCCTCTCTCAATGAGGTATGTAACATCATGTTATAACAACAGAAAAGATACTACATTGTAATCGAGCCAATGGCACTAAAAAAAATTTAAAAAAACAGAAAAGAGAAAAACCAAACTAACATCTAAACAATCCATTTCAAGACATTATTTATCCCCATGTGTTGGATGATGATGATTCATGTGGTTGTGTTCTTCCCAGTGCCGACGAAATCCAGCAAGGGTCCAAGGCGATACACGACGTTTTGGAGTTTGATCTACCAAAGATGCAGAAAGAGAAGCCACCAAAGGTACCCCACACTGAATCATCTGATAATTCCTGTGACCGTTGTGGACGCAATTTGTATGCCGCTGTGTAGTAAAGGCAGATTGCGTCCTCATGTCCTCTGATTGCCTTTGAAGTTTTCCGTATGTTCGTGCCATTGGTAGCCGTATTTAGACTGATTGAGATTTTTTGAGAATGCTGATGCAATTTGAACGTTGTAACTTGTTTCTGTGGCGCGAACGAGGCCAGTTTTCTAAATAATACGCAGTGCTACATTGCTATTTACTTCAATTCAGTATCATTCACTTAGTTTAGTCCAGTGCATAGATTTAAATTGGAAATATTTGAAATAGATGGGTGTATATCTTTTACGAGACATGACTATTCATGAAGGGCATATCTTTTTCCACAAATAGAGCCCTCTCTAACACAAACACACCCCTCATTCTCTCCAATTGCATCTCCCAAGTTGATTTTGATTTTGAAATCAAATTTTGACTTCAAAATCAAAATTAACTTGGGGGATGCAATTGAAGGGGAGTGTTTGGGTGAGAGAGGGATGAGGGGGTTTACAGGAGTTAAGGGATGTAGGAACTATTAATTTTATGGACGGGATATCAGAGCACCCTGAGTCATCTTCCAATGTCATGGAAACCAAAGGGTATTTAATAATAGAAAACTAAATAGGAAAACTCATCTATTATAAACGATTAATTGTGGAATTTACTTACACTATGTTTGGTTCAAGGAATTTGGAAGGAAAAGAAAAGAAAATGGTTTTCTCTCATTTTCCTCACCAAAATAAAAGGAATTTGGTTTTTCCTCCACTTGGTACATTTTGCCTTCTCATTTTCTTTTTCTTCCACTTCTTTTCTTTTCCCCTCTAACCAAACAAGAAAAACACTTTTCCACTTCATTTTCTTTTCTTTTCCCTTACAAATTCCTTAAACCAAACACAGTGTTAAAGAAAAAAGAAATGATTTGTTGACAAAAGTGGGGGCACAATTGAAAATATATTCGTTGGGGACACTAAAATACTCCGTAATGGACTACCGACCTACTAATAAAAAAAAGGACGACCGACCTACAACTGCCCCCACGTGGAATACCTAATACTACGTATCTGTACGTGCTAACTCCGTTGTTTAACTGCACGTCTACATAAGTCTTGTCTTGTCATCATGTTTATATTAAGGAATTTCTAAATTATTACTCACTCCGTCCCAATTTAAATCGTCTGTTCTGACTTTTGAGCATATTTAAAAAAAATAAAAAATAGAGTTGATTTTTCGAAATTGTCATTACTTTTTAGGAGGGGTGATGATGAATGAGAAAATAAGGTAAAGAAGAGTAACTTATTTTAGGAATAGTTTAGGTATTTTATTTTTAAAAATTCATGAAAACAACTAACATGCAACTTATTTTGGGATGGAGAAAAAAAGCAAACATGCAATTTAAAATAGGACAGAAGGAGTATATTAATTAGATAAAATAATAAGAGACAGAGGGAGCATTCACATACCATGACCTCCCCAAAACAGGAGACGGTCATCATGACCCTTTAGGTCATGTTTGAATGGTTCTGATCTGATTGTAATAAATTTCAAACTGATATAATTTAAACTTATTCCAATAAAAAATACTCCCTCTGTCCGGAAAAGAAGTACCCATTTTGATTTTTGGTTGTTTTTATTGAATGTTGACTTTGTGATGGAAATGTCCACAATACCCTCCTACCCTTCCCTGCTATCTCAACACTCAACACTGGTCCTTCCCTGGAATCCCTGCTATCTCCAATCTATAAGAGTCAACCGTCACATCCTCTAAGCAAGACTATTGACCCAACCCACACCACCACCGTCATCTCCACTCGCCGACCGCACTAGCAGGAGCTTTCTCAGGAAGCAGGAATGACCAAACCACGCCTCTCTTTTTGCATGGTGTGTCACAAATATGTTGAGCATAGATCAAATTTGTTATTTGTCACCAGTTGTCTATAACAGATGAGGCTATAATGATTAGAACAAGGCATGTCCTTTGGGTTCTTATCTAATGCCTCATCCAAATCAGGTGGCAGATAAAACTGCCCAAATGCAAACTCTATTCATTACATTGTGTTTTACTCCGTACTAAATAGCATGTAGCCACTATCCAAAATGTAAAACAGGAAAATCAAGAACATTATGGTCACATCTCCAACTTAAATTATTCTCCTTGTTTATATGCCAAAAGCAAACTGAACGAACAAATCGGGGCTGACTGCTGAGGGAGTCAACTAAGAGTATTTATAAGTTGTACAAATATGAGCTGTCAAAATGTGAAGAATGTAAATACTCAATATTTTTGATGGCTCAAATTATTTGTTCTCAAACATGAATTTCCACCTATTGTACGGTAAATAAAAAAGGAGTTCTTAATCATCCAAGAATTTGGGTGGTATTACGCATTCCATCAAAAGCATGCAAATGTTAAGTTGGGTGTTAGGTACAACTTCAAACATCAAAGGCAATAACATGAACCACAACCGAAATAAATGATGCAATTCAGGTATATTACCTCTGGTAGCTTACACCCAACGAAACCAAACGTCCCCCCAAAGAGTTTGTTTGGTTCTGCTTTCAGAGGGAGGGAAGTGATGAATTGAGAAACTTGAACCACTGCCCCAAATATTTTCAGCTAGAGAGGAAGAGAGATACATCTCCTCCCTACAAACCAAACACGCCCTAAGCGGTTTCGGCATTTGCAGAAATGCCAGGCTTCCCAGCAAGTGAATCAACAATAGCTGCAGCTTGAACTGTTTTAATGTCCAATTCATCAGCCTTGTTCATATGACACGAGCGTGCCACATCATCACCTACAGCAGTAGCATTATCATTCACAGTTTTTTCACATGAACCAATTTCTGTCCCGTTTTTCATATTTGCACCTTCTTCACTTTTTGAATCCACGGTTTTTTCGTGCTCTGTAAAAGCTAAATCAGGGTAGTTACGGTAGTTCAGAGAATGTAGCCAGAGACCCATCACTCCTTCCTTGTGCTCTGTTGATGCAATATGAGTGTAAATATGCTTCATTTTGAAGTCCTCTGCCTCACCTGCATAATCTTTCATTGACAGTTCTTCGTGATCTTCCCACTTTTGGTTATATGATGTGAAGAAGCACTCGTCCAAATACAATCCCACCTCGGGAGCCATAGGCACATTAATATTAACATCCCTATTTTTTGTCAAAAAAGAAAGAGAACAAAGAAACTATCAACTAGATAATGTTATCACAAACCTATTTCTAGTAGTAATACTATGTGTCTTTGGTGCTACCACAAAATATGTTAATGCTGAAAATGCTTCAATAAAATGTCAACTAAAAAAGTAAAAATTAGGCTCCATTTTATAGCCAGTAGTGACTTACAATCAGCATAATAAGTACTCCGTAGCTTTTTACTTGCTTATTTGGCTGATAAGGATGTTACAAAAAAGCTTTCACTTTTTAGATTTACTCATTTCATCTGAACCAATTTCTATATACATAACTTCCTCTCTCTACACTCAACCTCTAAGCAGGTTTGTTTGGTTTGAGTGTTACAAAACTCTTCTCTTTTCATAAAATTCAGTAGCTTAGACCATATAGGGAGCGTTTGGTAGCATGATTTGACTAGATAGCTTTTGACATGCTTATTTGGCGGAAATGATTTTACCAAATTGTCCTTCCAGAAACTGCAGCAGTTTCCATTTCAGCCAGATAGCCAAAACCATTAGGTGTTGTCTCGTAACCAAAGATAACCTCTCAGACGATTAAAATATTTTCGACCTACTCATTAGCCTATGACCTACATAGCTGAAACAGATTTTGGCAAACATGTTTTCCAAATTCAGCCATTCCAATCAAATAAACTTTATCAATCGGAGCACATCTATGCCGTGTCATTTAAGAAACATTGTATTGCTGGGCACACTTATGAAAGTTTTTGTTGTTGAAATACTTACTTGCGGAAAGCTGTTTGAATCAAAGACTCTGAAGAACAATTCCTCATGATTGCCACAGCAAGACCTATCATCTTACGGATTTGATGAAGCATGAAGCTTTGTCCAACCACCTCACACTTAACAAACTCAATGCCTTCAACATTAACTGTGGTGTCTGCAGCAAAAGAGATAATGTATCGCTTTGCAGATGGGTCTTCAGCTTTTATTCTTGTTGTGAAATTGTGGAAGTTGTGTGTTCCCTCGTAGTACTTAAGAATTCTGTTAAACTTGTCTTTCTCAAGATCTCCAAAAGAAAACTCCGTCTTTTTTGTGGCTAAAGTGTCTTTGTCATCTCCCTTTGCACCATTCGTGTCTGTAGCTTCATCATTCTCCTCTTGAGGAGTAACACTTTCTAGTTTTTTCTCAGTTTCAGAACATGGATAACTAGCATCATCACCATTTTCTACAGAATGGAGGGGGGAGTTCTTTGTGTTCAACAAAATGCCCGAATCAGATGAAGCCCCATTTTGCTCATTCTTTGAATCGAAGCTTCGTTTACCCATTACACCTTCAACTTTACGTCCTCTTTCTGAACACTCTACACACTTCACAAGTTCATTTCCAGATCCCATACTAGCAAGAACAGTTTCCCTGTCGCGGTGAGCAGAAGGGTCCAGAGCGAAAACAGGGATTAAGTAAACATACCTCCGCTTATCACAGAACTTCTTAGCACTGAACGATGCCGTCGTTCGCTTGTAACCGAAGATCCGGATCTGAGGAGAGAGGTTCGAGTTCATGCGGTCGATGAAACAAGGCGGGTCAGTGTAGAACCGACCCGAGATGACTTGACCTACGGCGCTCACACCCTTGTCAGTCCGAGCTGAGCGAGCCCAATCATACCGCCGAGGCTGGCCCCTGTCTTGCTCCGGCACGGCGCCGGCGTGAAATAGAGCTTCTTCGAGGTCCCCTTCTATGGTTTTCGCCCCGGGGTTCTTTTGCATCCCCTGATATCCAACCCCGCAATAGGCGAAGAAAATTGCGACTTTGCGGCGCTTGTACCTGGGTTTCCGTTCCGGTGGAGCACCTCCGTCTGCGGCGGGGACGGCTGGGTCAAATTCTTCATCGTCGGAGGTCGTGGTGGTGGACATCTTCTGCTTTTTAGGAGCGGGCTCTAATCCTATCGGCGAAGGAGGAGGGTTTGGATTTTCCATCTTCAGCGAAGGGCATACATTGCTAGCAATGGAGCTTTTCCCGTTTTACAAAAAACCCTAGACGGCGAACCAGGTCTGAATCATTAAGTATTAAGTGCTGAACCAGTAAGAGGTCTGAATCATTAAGTGCTGAACCAGTAAGAGGTTTGAACCATTAAGAGCTAGTATATTGCTTAACTATTCAGAGGCAAATGTCTGATCAATTCAGATAACAGCTCTTAACCATTCAGACTCTGTATAATACTTAACCATTCAGAGGCAAATCTATTAACCATTCAGACATCTGAACCATTAAGAGGCTGAAACAAACAGTTTGAATCATTAAGTGCTGAATCATTCAGACATCTCAACCATTAAGAGGCTGAAACAAACAGCCCCTTAGTTGGTATATGGTACATCTTTATTTACCTAAATAGGTATATCCCGGTAGTACTCATTCTGAAATAAAGTAGTACTTATTTTCGTACAAATATAAACATTTATTTCGAAATACGTAGTACTCATTCTGGCAAAGGTAGTACTCATTTTAAAATAAAGAAGTACTCATTTTTACACATTTGTCTAATATAATTATAATAAATAGCGTAGTGTTCATTCTTTAAAAAACAATACTCATTCTCAAATAAGGAAATGTTCATTGTGAAATAAAGTATTGTTCAATTTTTTCACAATTAAAAAGTTCAGTACCATCATCAACTTCTTCCTCTATTCGATTCGTTCCTACTCATTTATACTCTCTGAGCATGGAGAATTTAAAACCCAGGTTTATTCATGTTTGTATTGAATAAGAATATGATAATTCTCATAAGTGCTGGTACTCCTTCTCAAATCTGTTGGTACTCATTATCATATATAATAGTTCTCATATACGGAGTATATGTTTTGGACATTGGATAAAAAGTTTGCAAAATTTACAAAAATACTAGGATATACCTAAAGAAAGGTACAGCTGGATGTACCATATAATTTGCCGCTAAAGCTAGTTAGTGTAAACTTAGAGAGTGTTCTTAAGAATTGAAAAAAAAGAGCTGGATGTTAGAACAAGTTGGAAAAAATTGGAAGAAACTGAAAGCAACTAGAAGGAATTGGAAGAAACTAGAAAAAACTAGAAAGAACGGGATGAAACTCGAAAAACATCAAAAAATTGAAAAAACTTAAAAAACTTTTAAAAAAATTATTTTAAATTCTTGTTGTTATAAATTGTTGTTGTTATTATTATTATATTATTATCATCACCACCACCACCACCATCATCATAAGTTGAATAGACAACCTAGAAAGCACATCACACGTCCTAGGCACATGAACAACCATAGTGTAAGGTGTCATTATTGTAATAAAGTAGGACATATCACACCATTTTGTTACACTAAGTATATGCACTTGCTTCTAAGTCGAGATAATGTGATGCATCGATCATATGATTCTTATTATTATTTCCATAACACCCCTAGACCCAAAAAACATTGGGTACCACGATTCACTTCTTAAATTCCTTGAAGAAAATGTGCTTGAAGACTTCGACTTGAGTTGTGGTAGATGCACCAAGCACATAATTGGGTGAAACATCCATTAAAGGGGAAGTTGAATTCTTTTCTTATTTTATTTGAGTTTAGTTTATTGCTAACATTTTTTAAACAATCGGTATCAATAGTTGGACAATGTGATATTATTTGCTTGTTTGATATCAATTTGCCAGAGCACATATTTTTTGCCCATCTCTTTTTGATAATGTCAAAAGGGGGAAGATTGTGTAGATATGTATATGTTTAGGGAGAATTTTATTTGTGCATATCTTAAGGGGGAAGATAGTATAGATTTGTATGTATTTTGATTTATGATGCAATACTAGAGGGGGAACTAGCCTTGTATGATGCATATATTTTAATGGGAAATTATTGGACAATGTGCTCTCATGAATATATATATTTGCAATGTCCTTTCCCCATTTTCTTTTAGGTTTTGATAATGACAAAAAGGTGACAAAATATCACCATCAAATTGTGCATAAAGGCTAAGAATCAAAGCTACAACAAGTTCATATCCGTCCGTGAAGAAGGGACTTTGTTAAATATATTAATTATTTTAATATATTTACTATTATATTATAATTATGGTTGTTACCTATTATAGTTAGAGTTATTATTATATAATATTACCTTATATAATTAGTCATTAATGTGGAGGATTCTAGAATATATTCCTCCACCTATAAATACATAGTTTGTATTCCTCTCTTATTCATTCAATCAATATAGCGTTCTTTATTATTTTACAGACTTGAGCATCGGTGGAAGGATCGAGACCGAAGACGTTGTTACCTTGGTTGGGTAGTCTTTTAGGTCTTAGAATATTTGTTAAAAAGTATGGCATATAGGTATTTCTCATAGTCTTAAAATGTTTTTCAAAATCATCTCTAAGTATTTTTGAGTTGGTTTCAAAATGGTCTTATCATTTTTTGGAGTATTCTGGGTCATTTATTCGAATAACTTTGCTTTTATTCGAATAAATAGTGTATGTCTTGTCGCTGACTTAGTTGGATAAAACTGTTTTTACAGACTAAATCTTGTTCACTGCAGCAGCAAGGTTAGCGTGAGTTGGTCGAATAAATCCAAATTTAGTCGAATAAGTCGACAGTTTCAACTTCCAAATTGTAACACCATAATCTGTTTAGGTCAACAGCCCCTTTCAGACCAAAGTATTAATTTGGTAATCGTGATAATTTAAAACATTTCAAACATTTTTATTCATTATAAATAATATTCCATACATAACTGTAGAAATTACTGAGTATTTAATAATAATGCGGGAGCGACTTTTAAACATGTCTCATAACAAACATAATCATTTATTTGTCAATAAATCCACCACGACGGTCTCGCCTCTTCCGCTTCCAGAAATATGCCAATCATTCATTCTATCTACCCGCGTGTAGCAAATAAAGCACACTACACGCTGAGCAGTGAAGCTGAGTAAGAATATCTAAAGCGTCGAACATCTACATAAATTGAATCTCAATTCATAATTAACCATTTGATATCATGCACACAACATATATTCAAGAATTCATGATATTCTCAATATTTTATTCTAAGTCATTCGACAATCAATATCTCAACTATGCTCTTAAATTATTCCTAATCTAAGCCCAAATCATTTTATAACAAGCTCTTTGTTATTCCTAGTCTAAGGCAATATTTCTAACGAGACTCTTAAATTATAAATAGTATAAGGCAGAACACAAGAATCGATAATCCACCCTATGAGTCATGTGGATTACGTACCAACCGAACAGTGATCTGTCAGGTGAGTGATATCCGTTCTGGATTCCATACGTACGTTTTAACCCCGAATTATGATTGGTCAAGGAGGTATATCTTAGAGTTCTTCTAGATATCCTTAATAATCATCATCAATTTCCAAACGGGTATATCTTAGACTTCTTCTAGATATCCTTAACAATACAGATTATCTTCATGATTATCAATATCTTTTTTTATTCATGATTTAATCATTCATAATCAATACTTTAATCAGAATATTCATCATCAATCAATAATATTTATCATAAGCATAATTCAATAATAACAACCAATAACAAATAGCGGCCTAGCATCGAGTATTAACACTCTAGCTTACCGCCATGCATCATATAAGGTTTATTGGATTTGTTAAAACATCATATTTATTTCCAAAAATCATTTTCATATTGGTCATATTTGTTTGATATCAAGATTATGTTTTAAACTAAGTTTTCTGCATGAAATAATCGATTAAACAGAGATGGAAAATCGATTAATAGCTTTTGTCTTCAAATGCTTTAGTGGAATAGAGAGATAATCGATTATGTAGGATAAATTAATCGATTACTATCTATTAACCAATTAAATCAGAAGATAATAATTGATTAACATAAATTAATCTATTAATCAGCCATGAATTAATCTATTAATCAACTATGAATTAATCTATTAATCAACATGAATTAATCTATTAATCAACATGAATTAATCTATTAATCGATTAAACGGAATGAGTTAATCGATTAATGTATACTGTTCATCGTCTTCTTCCTCGGTCCATTTTCAAAAATATCATTTTACTCACCAAACTTCAATTAAATTATATAGAAATCTTCTCCAATGTTCATAGGTTGTTTTAGAGTCATTAGTTCGTAGTTTTAAAATCAAATTCAAGGTTTATGATTCTTGGTTCTTCAAACATGTCAAAACCAAAACTCAACCAAACGACCGTTTATGAATGTAGAAACGATCTATACGAACACTCTAGTCATTAGATATATTTACAGGCTTACCTCGAAGCGTAAGGGAGATTTTGAGGATTTTCTGGTGAAACTTCCGGTGACTATATCTCTCTGCTCCGGTGACCTCTCACAGAAATAATAACACCACTACACTCTACTCTCAGCAATGAAAAATATGGAAGAAAGAATGAATTGTTTTGGTGAAGAAATGGAGGATTTGGCTCCCCTTAAATAGCCAAGTGAAGGAGGAAGAAGACACAGGTTTTGCAGCTTCCTTGATTACGCGGTGATTTGGAATCGGCGTAATTGAACAGGGAGCGGCGCCGTTTGTTGTGTAGTCCCTGATTGGGACTATTTTTGGTCCCTGTCGGGGTACACGTTTTGGTCCAACTTTCTCCGAATTGAAATCCGATTGAACTGTTGGGGTCAGACAGTCAAACTCTACACAACGATACAATTTTCATTATTTATTGACAAACTTTATAAATTACTTATTTTTGGGTCCTTCTCAGTAATTAATTAATTATCAATTAATTAATTCTGATAGGCCTATTTTCGGGGCGTTACACAAATGGCTAGTTTTTTGAATATTTTTCATTCCTATGCACTCCCTAAATTCTATAAACTCACTTGTCTCGTTGTTATATTTAGAAGAACACTAAGAACACATATCATAACACGTCCTTTGAATATCGCAAGAGATTTTACTCAATTCCCTTCTAATATCCAAACAAGACAATTATTTTGATTGCTAAATCCTTTCTTGCTTGAGTTTATCCTCATTGCTTGTGTCCTTGAGAGATTTTGTCATATTCTAT